GAGATTGAAATTCGTTTTATTTTATTAAAAAAACGAATATGGTATTTACATAAGCGTATTCTAAATAGGATACTAATTATAACAAAAAAATAATTTGTGTCAATTATAGCGGTGATATTTCATTTGAGTATCATAAGTATAAATAGACTGATAGTTGTTTTTTCTTCTTCTCTATAAGCCACTAAATTGGTTAACCTTTTTAATTATTAATATACTTATTATTTTATATTTATAATGTGAAAAATATGTGCGGTCTACGAAATATTCAATAATTGAGTTGAATCTTCCACAAGAATAATTTGATCTGATAAAGAATGCATACCTATGCTATCAAATTCGAAGCGAAAACTAAGTACCATCATTAATACTTTCCCTGGACTGGCCGTGTGATATGCTCTTTAATCATTATATTTAGGATAAGTGTTCTGGATTTTCAAAATTTGATGCTGTGGCGCCTTGTCGATGATCTGATTCTTTTATAATACAAAACCATCCTCGAAAACGTTTAATATCACCTATATTTTGACAGGAGAGGTATCAATTTCTTTCTCAGATCAATCAATAGATATCTATAAGGATAATAATATAACATGAACATGGTTGATTAATTGTTATATATTTATTCATATGTGTTAATAATTAATCTCTTATATGCGGGATTTTTATTTAAATAGGGAATATATTTACATATACCTGAGTTGTATCTGATAAATTTCAAATCACCTTATATAAAAAATCGTTAAAAAAGGTTATATTCGTATCTTCCTTTTTCTATCCATAGCCATATTTATGTAAAATGTCCTATTACAAGTGTATTAAATGTATAAATAAAAAATAATTGAAAATACGATAATTTAACACCCATTATAATTGCCCTGAGTGCTGACAGAAAACTCAAGGAGATAATGGAATTTGATAGGAGGCCAAAAAGGACTGCTCATCATATCAACAAGAAATTTCAATGAGACTGGCACTAAGTTGCTGGCTGGAAATATGAAGGATAGCACAAAATTAATGGCTGCTTCCTTCCTAAAAATCTGAAACATGACAGTTGTAGCATGTTAAGGGTCTTCTCGGAAGAGAATCAGAGATTGGATCTATTAATACTCCTCAGGTAACTGTTGTGATGCGAACGACATTTCAAGTTTCTACGATAATGGTCTCTGGCGTGAGATGGAAATCATATGGCTACCCTCTTCTTCGAACAAGGCCTCAGAGTAAAGGCAGACACCTGCTTCAGTGTCCTAGAGACAGTGGCTTGAATGAACATGATGGCCGTAGCAAAAACTTTTTTTATTCCAACAGGGCTCACAGGGATGTGAAAAGAACACACAGACATGGCTGACCCTCCACGTCCTCGGCCGATTGAGTCCAAAAATTCGACCTTTCCAAACAGCAACTCACTCGACTACAATGTGTGGGGTGTTATTGAGTGGCTAAATAGGTCTCCCATAATACCATACGTCTTAAGATAATGCTCTGTACATGAGGATAACATAAAATGACAAGGTTGTCAAGACTAAGGTTTTCTTCCACACTCGCGCCTCGAAATTGTCGTAATTGATATTGAAGAATACATTGAATAAGTCAACAAACCTCTCTCTCTCTCTGTATCATTTTGACTACTACTCTACGTATTATCATTTTAAAATTTTGATTTTTAATTGCACACTTTGTATATATTAAAAACCTTTTTGCACTACTGTTATTCACTGATTTAAATGCTTCACCATAGTTTGAAGCAACCCTTGTGAAATACACTAATGAACAAAAATTAAGGAAGTTGCCCCACACCTTTAATCATGTATATCGGGATTCAGACAATAAATAATATATTTAATACACAGTTACTTTTATTGAAGACACACAAGAGAAACAATTGTAAACAAATCTCTTTTGCCTACTTAAAAAAAAACAGACGACCGGTGACATCAAATACATTAAACTTTTTAAAGTATTGTCCCCATGAGTATATAAATACAATGGAACTCTATAACAAAATATTATATTTCCATAAATATATACGATAAAAGTAGATGCATTCTAAAGAGCGTCACTATAGAAAGCTTTCATTGAAACGTCGGAATTCTTTATTTATTAGAGATATTTTTGTGTTAATATTTCAATATTTTTGACTTATAAAATCATATAATAGATCATATAATCATAGATATAAAATATTTAACTAAAGTTAACATATAGTTATGATGTCTTCCGTTAAAATAAATATTCAATCAAATAAAGTTACTCAGATTTAGAGAGATGACAATGAACTTTTCGGAATATTTTTGCTTTACTGAAAATGTTCCGTTAGAAAAGGTTTCTCAGTACATTTACCAGTATTGATAATATATTTCATAATTTTTATACACATGTACACAAATAGATTAATATATCTGCTTATATGAAAAGTATTTCGACTAAATATTATATTTAAAAACACAAATATATTCAAATATTCTTCCAAGTGTTGTGAGGCTCTGATAAAATGGTATGTAGAGAAGCCCTCTGTACAGGCAGCTAATAGAATTAGCCCAGTCCCCCAATGGGAAATGACTTAAAGAAATCTAAGAAGAGGGTAACCCTGCTCAAACGAGCCCCAGTGGAATCAGATCGAAATCTTTAACTAAAAATAAAATCCCGAGAGGGACTGGCCACACTGTCACATTCGAGTTTGGAAGAAAACTGTCCTGAAAAAGTGGTCTCCTTTTCCTCTTTCTGGAGCTATATATATTCAAACTATATTACCATATATATTCAATATATGATATGAGAAATAAGATATATTCCAAATATACTAGTAGGAATATGCATATTTTTACTTTCCTTCGAAGAAAAGAATTGACACGCACAGGGGATTAACCTATATTACAAAGAATAAAATCTGTTTATTTTTGACAAAGTGTTTAATGATATTTTTCAACACGTGAAAACACCAGCGATATGTAAAATATTACAAGAATAAAATGAGAACATTCGAAATAAACCTAATGTGGCTATATCTTTAAGATTACTTTTTCAAAAATATATATTTTTACAAATATCAATTACATTGAAAATACATTAGAATTCGTGTGCAGAAGCATTGCGTTATAAGGAGGGTTAGCCGGTGTTGTGAATTTCCAGTATATTCTGTAGAAATCGTTGAAAATCTTGTAAAGGATATTATAAGCATGTTTATTTTAATTTTTATATATGGTTGTGTCTATGCAATATAAAATGAGTATATATAAATTATATAATATATACATAACAATGTGGCGCTGAGTTTATTGTTGACACACTTTAAAATGTTATAATACCTTGATGAAGGTTGGCGCTCAGCCAACTGAAATATTGGTAAAATAAATAATATTTTGATCCAATATATGCCTTTTTATTTGAACATAACAATATATTCACTATTTTTATACAAAACTTAATTGTTTTATATATGTATACATTCTTTTTATGTACGTATTTGCCCATAGCTGATATTCCGGCTTATATTAATGTATTTTCATGAAAGTGGTTTTTTTAGATCAGAAAATTGGGGTCTTCAAATTAATTTCCAACTCATTGACTCTAATACATAACACCCTATGTTTGTAAAATGTCAAATTATTATCGTCATCAGAAATAATTAGGTTTAAATATATTTTTAAAAAACATATCTCTGAAACTATTAATGGAATATATTGAGAAGGCATAAACTCATAATGATGATTATATTTACAAATATTGAAGAATTAACATTTATATAAAGGCTAAAATAATTATTGAATAATAATAAAAATGCAACATAATTATTATAAAGGTTAATTGAATGAATAATAAAAATTGTAAAAGGATGGCTGCTGCCCATTGTCAGCATGTGGAACAAGTATTTAATACCAATCTGGCTTAAGATGGACGTTCTACTTATACATCGGACAAAAGAAGTTTGAAATTCCACTCGAATTTGTATGCTTTAATTAGTTAATAACCAAATAACAAATGTTGCCTTACACTAGCGTCCACTGTTTGAATGTCTATACGCACATATTTATTTAACCACTATATATAATATAAAATATCTCACCCTTTTTTGATGATACCTTTCAGAACTATTGGCTTACTTGTCTACCTTTATACCTTTATGTTCTTGTAAACTTCAATTGGAGTCTTCCCATACCTACATATAGATTCTTGAGAAAGAACATTTCTAGTTTGTGCTATAACAGGCATTTCTAGATCGTGAAGATAAGCGTGGCTTATGAATTGGCCTAACGATTATTAAATTTTAATATCAGGAGATGATCGTTCATTCGTCATTTTCTTACCCTGATCTCTATTCCATAATTTCCTTTTTGCAATTCATACATAGACAGTCGAATGGCACTGAATCGAGCTCTGCTAGAGTGAATATTTTCTGGGTCAATAATATAGTAAATTTTAATAGTAATAATATTGTTTAATAGAGTTAATAAAGCAACACTTAAAGCCTCCCCGCATAAGTTTCTTTTTTGTGAAAAATCAATTTTAATTTCAAAGAGAAATATGTACTATTTCTAACTTTTTGGATAACGTATGAAAGGGTTGAATATATGAAGAGTAATGGTCTATATATGATTGGATGACGTATGAAAGGGTGAAAATATGAAGAATAATGGCGAACGGAAAAATAAAAGTGTCCAGGGGCGGGAATCGAACCCACAACCTTCTGCTTACCGGGCAGGTGCCATGTCCACTAGGCTACCCTGGACGTATTTTTCCGTTCGTAACTAATACTTAAAGTAACTTATAATACATTATAAAGGACAGCGGCGTATTATTATAAAGCAACACTTAAAGCCTCCCCGCATAAGTTTCTTTTTTGTGAAAAATCAATATTAATTTCAAAGAGAAATATGTACTATTTCTAACTTTTTGGATGACGTATGAAAAGGTTGAATATATGAAGAGTAATGGTCTATATATGATTGGATGACGTATGAAAGGGTGAAAATATGAAGGGTAATGGTGAATGGAAAAATAAAAGTGTCCAGGGGCGGGAATCGAACCCACAACCTTCTGCTTACCGGGCAGGTGCCATGTCCACTGGGCTACCCTTGACGCATTTTTCCGTTCGTAACTAATACTTAAAGTAACTTATAATACATTATAAAGGACAGCGGCGTATTATTATAAAGCAACACTTAAAGCCTCCCCGCATAAGTTTCTTTTTTGTGAAAAATCAATATTAATTTCAAAGAGAAATATGTACTATTTCTAACTTTTTGGATGACGTATGAAAAGGTTGAATATATGAAGAGTAATGCTGAATGGAAAAATAAAAGTGTCCAGGGGCGGGAATCGAACCCACAACCTTCTGCTTACCGGGCAGGTGCCATGTCCACTAGGCTACCCTGGACGTATTTTTCCGTTCGTAACTAATACTTAAAGTAACTTATAATACATTATAAAGGACTGCGGCGTATGATTATAAAGCAACACTTAAAGCCTCCCCGCATAAGTTTATTTTTTGTGAAAAATCAATATTAATTTCAAAGAGAAATATGTACTATTTCTAACTTTTTGGATGACGTATGAAAAGGTTGAATATATGAAGAGTAATGGTCTATATATGATTGGATGAAGTATGAAAGGGTGAAAATATGAAGAGTAATGGCGAACGGAAAATAAAAGTGTCCAGGGGCGGGAATTTTATTTTTCCGTTCGCCATTACTCTTCATATTTTCACCCTTTCATACGTCATCCAATCATATGTATATAGACCATTACTCTTCATATATTCAACCTTTTCATACGTCATCCAAAAAGTTAGAAATAGTACATATTTCTCTTTGAAATTAATATTGATTTTTCACAAAAAATAAACTTATGCGGGGAGGTTTTAAGTGTTGCTTTATAATCATACGCCGCAGTCCTTTATAATGTATTATAATTTACTTTGAGTATTAGTTACGAACGGAAAAATACGTCCAGGGTAGCTTAGTGGACATGGCACCTGCCCGGTAAGCAGAAGGTTGTGGGTTCGATTCATGCCCCTGGACACTTTTATTTTTCCGTTCGCCATTACTCTTCATATTTTCACCCTTTCATACGTCATCCAATCATATATAGACCATTACTCTTCATATATTCAACCTTTTCATACGTCATCCAAAAAGTTAGAAATAGTACATATTTCTCTTTGAAATTAATATTGATTTTTCACAAAAAAGAAACGTATGCGGGGAGGCTTTGAGTGTTGCTTTATAATCATACGCCGCAGTCCTTTATAATAGAGTTAATGATCGTTTAAAGTAATTAGAATTAGTTAGCGGTGGTTATAAATCAGCAGTTATTTGTATTTAGTATATAACTTAGTAGTTGGTTAAAAAGATAATATTTAATAGGAGTCATTAGTAAATAATGTGGTAGCTAGTAGTATTCATTAGATAGAAATAGTTAGTATTATTTAGAAGTACCTAGTTGTGTAGTTAGAGATAGTTATTAGTAGCTAGCTTTAGTTAGTAGTAACAAGTAGCAACTAATATCAGTTAGTGATGTTAGCATTTGGTAATTAGCAGCAGTTCCTAGAAGAGCTGGTAATATAGTAAGTAGTATATAGTTAGTAATTAGTAATAGTTACCAGTAGTTAGTAATAGCGCTAATAGTAGTGCAAATATTTGTAATATGCAAATAAGTCTGTTTTTGTATTAAATAACATATTGCGGGGTTGTAAATACGACAGTGAGGAGAATTCACTTGTTTTCCTACCAAAGTTCCATACAGATGGATCAAATGTCGCAGAAACATACGTGTGTCGAACAGACAAATAAATAAATATTATTTTTTTATATATAAATATTATTTTGTTGATAGATTTCATTTAACTTAGTATGATATCTCTAGAAATGGTGTTCAAACGACAGTTTAATATTCGTGTCTTCTTGTTATAATTATGTCTCGTAATTACACACAGTAATAAGGAGATTAATAGATATTTCCGTCTTCCTAGCAATTATATTGTAATATTAGGAATCCAACAATAGCATAGCGAATCTTGAATTTATTGCTGAAACGTATTATAATAAATATTTATTTATACAACAATTCAATTTATAATTGGTATATACATATCATAAGGGTAATTAATTTTGTATTATTATAATTGTATATGACGACATATATTTTGATATTTCAATTTATATCGAAAGACAAAACATCTATTTTGCAATCGTTTTCGGGACGCATGAAGACATTTTCCTCTAAAATAGGTTTTTAACTTTTAATTAGACAATTTTAATTTATATTTAGACATTTTTCATTTTAATTTAGACACTTTCATTTTTATTTAGACATTTTCAATTTTAATTTAGACATTTTTGATATCAATTTAGACATTTTTCATTTTAATTTAGACACATGGACTTTTTATAGAAAGTCCATGTGTCTAAATTAAAATGAAAAATGTCTAAATCAAAAAGAAAAATGTCTAAATTAAAAAGAAAAATGTCTAAATTGAAATGAAAGTGTCTAAATTAAAATGAAAAGTGTCTGAATATAAATTTAAATTGTCTAATTAAAAGTTAAAAACCTTTATATATAAAAATATATAAATAATCATAAAGTAAGCAAAATATATGAATTTCATTTATTAAATTTGAAAATAATTTTCAGAGAAACCTCGCCCACTAGACGACTTCAACTTAAAACGCGCTAGACTATCTTTTGAGCTAAACATTCTTGATACTGGTCAAAAAAAGCATTTTTATATTTCCATCTGTATCTTTATTATAATGATTTTATGTAAATTTCATAAAAGAATATTTTAAGTCAGTTTTACGCCAAATTTAACTTGCATTATATCTTTATGTGAAACCTTATCGATTATATCCATTTTAATATCACCTTTAGATTAAATTGGATCTGTTATCAATATAAACCACATTTCTAAATAAAAGGTGTAGACGAAAATCTTTAATAATATATAAATCACATAATAATAATATGAATAAAAGAAATAATATAAAGAAAAGTTTATTCGCCATGAAAAGAACGAGCCCAAAAGGTATCCTGCCACAGAAATCGTAACAAAGTTAAACCACCGAGTGCAAAACAAGCGTTTTCCTCATGAAAAATGGAACGGTTGGATTGAATGCAAAGTCCGGGGTATATATTATTCATTAGGCGCTACACGGTCGGTGATATTAGCAGGACATCGGTATAAATTATCAGGAATTGGAGATTACCAAACTTCAGTTAGCATAGATTTGTTTGTTACACGTATTTGGTTCCAGAATAGCTAGCTCTATTGTTAAGTCCTTTTACTTTTTCTTAGGTATTTCATTTATAAATTTGTCAATTTCCCTCAATGTTTCCGTGTATGACGTTATATACGTAGGTTGGAGTATATGTGGCATATTTTTTATATGAGGTCTGTGTTTTGCTTGAATTTGCCTAAACTGGTGTTGTGGAATATTGAGTCATCTTAATCGACGCAGAGAATATTAAAGAAATATAATTATTATATAGTTATGTTTTATCGTTTATTAAGTTCATTAAAATGCAAAGGTATACCTGCGCGCGTTATAGATTAGTGAGAATAGATAATAAAAATAGGATCAGACAGCAAAATATGAGAAAGGTAAACACACACATACGTTGAACGCTCAAATTAACATTAATATATATTTAAAATAACTTTTTTTTCTAAAGAGCACCTTTTTATGAAGTCAAATAGTTATATAGGGAAAGGTGTTCACATGGCAATTTTGGCGATAGAAACTGTTCTCTCTATAGAGCTGTCCACTAGAGAGATTATCTCTGGATATATAGTTATATTTAATATTAAGATGCGGCTTGATGGGTATAACTAATGTAACCATTGATAATATTCATTCAGACCCTCCTAATATGTCGAAATGGGGTACACCTGAAGTAGTGGCATTGGAAACTCCTTACCTATAAACCCACTAACAACTAATAGCTATTCAGATCTTATGAGATAGGTTGGAACCATGGGAACAGTGGGAAATTGCACACACTGTCGATCACTTAGATCGAATCCTCCAGATTCAAGCATTTTCCCTACTTGATTGGTCCCCGATATTTGTACAAGTCAAGCCCCACCAGTGAGTGCAAGTAACCAAAAGAGACTCTGACCATTTATAAGTGAAAGGTCGAGCTGATTTCTAAATATGTAGATATAGACATGGCGCAGTAACAGTAAAATCAGTCTCTAACTATCCCTATGATTGTCATGGCTTATGCCTCTCTCTCATGTATACTTTATTTATATAAAAACACAATACCTTAGTTATATCACACTGTTTCTTTCAATAATTACTATTCTATAAAATATATTAATTAATTTAGGAGATGTGAGTCAATAGGCAATTATATGGTCAGAATTAGAGAAGAAACACTCAGATTTCTTTCCAACCCCTATCTCTATCTTAATTACTAATAACAAATAAATGCTTTAAAAGTTGCTTCAAATTGAAAAGATGAATTTATTTGTAATTAAAGAAATAAATCGCGCAATATATTAAAATAAATTATATCCAGCCTAATTTAACCATTAGTGGTAATATACACCAAAAATTTAGAATTTTTCTTTGCAATTTTCATAATTTTTTTAATTAATGCGATTTATTAAATACTACTCCGGTTATCAATATTTCAAGTGAAGGCTGTGGATAACAAAATAAATCTCTCATTATCGGAAGATGCTATTTTACAGGTTTTCATTGTGGTAGGCTACATACCCCTTGGGTTCCAGATTCTTTTCTGTATATTTTTTTCACGAATAGAGATATGTGCAGTTTAAACGTATTAATAATTTTAATAGGATATGCGCTTATATTTATTTTTCTGAGAATCTGTTTGTATATTTCAAAAAGTGTTTATGCCAAAATATTATCTTAAAGATAATTATTGTAAGAATAAAATTTCAGTGTGTATTTTTAAAATATATAAATATTCACTAGACGATTTAGGCAATCGTCAAATCGAACTTTAAAAGTTTTGAACAGGTAGAAAATCTGCACTTAAAAATAATTTTAGGCAAATAAAAAATGCACTCGAGATTTTCGAACAAGTAAAAATATGAACTTAAGATGAGG